CATCTTCACAGCAATTATCTTTCACCCCTATGCTGATCTCTTGCTTCTCAGGCCAGAAGTCTTTTCTTTGGAATAAATTATGCTTTATCCAAGCAGCCTCTTCAAGTGACACACAAATGATTAACCACTCAGAGTCTAACCTGTGTCAATGACATGGTTTCTAGTTCTAATAATGAATGCAAATAGAAGGAAGGCTCACAGTAGTTCTGATGAGTAGATCACCAGTTGATGTGTAGATCCTAGAAAGAGTATTTAAATGACACGATGTGCCAGAATTACATTGTACTTTTGTATGGAGTTAGAAACTGCTTAAAATAAAGGAAGAGGTTTACATACCTGCCACGATTATGGCTTGGCCAAGTTCCAACATTGGTTGGTAGAGGGGCCTCATGCTACTTAGTAGGTATACTAAGGCTGCAGTATTCCTAACTAACAGGGCATTAGAGGTGGCATTTTGGACCTAACCTGTCCAGGGATGGGATTTAGAAAGCAGCTATGACTCCTGCTTAGCAGCCCACAGGATCTTCTTTGGAATACCTGTTTATATTGGGTTGTCGGAAAAGTCATGATGCATCCTTTCTATGTTGTTCATTGCAAAAATGCATCATGACTTTTCCAACAACCCAATAAAAGTGCTAATCACTGTTAAAAGAGTCATGACTTCCAAAGGGTCAAATTCTCCCAAGCAGAGAGTCCTGGGGAATGTGAACAATTTTCTATTCAAAATTATTTTGTCAATCTAAGATCAAGAAGAGAAATTTATAGAGCATATGTCTTGATAATCTGTCCTTCCCAAAACCTTTACAGAGGTTAATAATTCCAAGTTCTTTTAAATTGCTAATCCTTAATAAGAGTCTCACTCAGATAAGGAGGTCATTCAAGTTTGAGCCATTTTATAGGTAATGGAAAAATCCAATATTGTTTACTCATTTGTATTAGTGTAATTTCCAGAAAATGATCAAACTGTGTTCCTGTACTTCATGTTCCCATTTAGAGGCTACAATAATCTGCATAATAAATAAGCAACAGAAACATGAAAAGGA